AAATGAAGTGTTGATACATGCTATGATCATGGATGAGCCTTAAAATATTATGCATAGTGAAAGAAATCAGAAAGAAAAGACCACATGCTATATGCTTTAATTTATTTGAAATGTCTAGAATAAGCAAATATATGGAGACAGAGAGCAGATTAGTGGTTGCCTAAAGTTGGGGGTGTGAGAGGTTGGGGGCCAATCGAAAGAGACTGCAAATGGTATGGACTTTCTTTTGGGGTCATGAAATATCCTAAACTCTGAGAATATACTAAAACTCAGTGAATTGTACAATTCATTATATGGTATATGAATTACAGCTAAATAAAGCTGTTCCTCAAAAAACCCCTCCATGAAACAAAAAATGTTATTAAAATTCAAACCAGATACTGTTACTTAAGTGATTATTAAATTCTGCGGTCTTGAGTTAGTCAAAGGTGCCCGTGTGGTCTCAGGTTAGTCCATAGTGACATGTGTCCTCACATATGAAGACTCTACATGGCTATAGCCTAGGCCATGCCTTTCTTTTGGATAAGTTTCAATATGTCCTGATTTTTATAAGGAAACTACCCAATTAGACAGATTAGTTAGGCAAATCTATGGAGACAGACAGCAGGCTAGTGGTTGCTGAAAGCAGGGGGTGTGGGAGGTTGTCTAAATTTATACTTACTCAAATATATTATTTGGTTTGTAATTTTTGCTCTAGGGGGCAATTCACTTTAGCAATATGTTTAATTTTTGTGTGATTTAAAAAATTTATTGTTTTTACCTTCCCTAATGTTTTATTATGAAAAATTTCAAGCATACAGTTGAAAAACTTGTAGTTAACATCAGTCTAATCCCATACCTAGATTTTCTCATTACCATTTCATTTCCATTATTCTTGTGTTAGCACATACCTATCTACATATCTATCCCACTAGGCTTTCATTCATCCGTCTTGTTTTTGACATATTTCAAGGTAAATTGCAGATAGCAGTACACGTCCTTTTGAATACTTTAGGATTTATACCATTAGCTAGAGTTCAATTTTTATTTATTGTTTTTTCTTTTGATGTATAACTTATACACATCAAAGTGGACAAATCCTGAGCATATAATTGCTGCACTTTGACAAGGGCATATATTTGTGTGACCTAAACCTCTAGTACAGAGCATGGCTGTTACCTTTGAAAGATCCCTCCTGCCCTTCCCAGTCAATCACCTTGCACTTCCTCCACTCCCAAAGATGTGCCCAATGTTTTCTTTTTTTTCCATTTTAGTTTCATTTTTTTAAAAAAATAGTGAGGATAGATAAATAATAGAAAATATGAAGACAGGCTATAAGCATGGTTCTAACAGGTGAGAATCATATCTTTACAGTATATATTTGTATCTGGTGAGACCACAGCTAATACTACCACTATTACCTTTCACTTAGTCATAGTGACTTAGAGTGAAGTGTTTCTACTTTTTCTCCTGTAAGTAATATTGCGATGAATAATTTACCTAGAAATCTTTATACCCATGCACGATTGTTAATAATCAAAAGTAATGTCTTCTTTTATCTGAACCAGACAGAATTTTGGTTCTTTTGATGGCATAAACCAGCCAAAGCTTCTCACATGCCCTTTATTTTCAATTAAATGCAAATGTTCAACCAATATCCGAAACCGCACAGCTCACAGCCCTCTGCCTAAAGAGGAAAAATCAGTCATTGGATGACCTGGTCTGGAGCCTTCAGTGATTTTGGGATGGATGGAAGATGGGTTTTGCTCACAGCCCACTGCTGAGCAAATATCTGGTGATTGTTCCAGCTAAATTGAGGTGTCTGACCCTTCTTACTTCCTTCTCAGAAGCTGAAATTGGGGTCCTAAGGTAAAATCCAGTTGTAACTTACTTTCAATTTATTTGGGATACGAAGCAAAAAATGTCCTCTTAATCTAACCACTGAGACATATGTATAAAAAAGAACCAGCAAGCTAGATTTCTAAACAAAGGTGCTCTAAGTGGGGAAGATGCCGATGTTACTCTTCTCTGCAGGCTCGGTCAGGACAGGGCACTGATCCTGCTACACAATGTTCTTATCAACGGTCATATCTGTTATTCCTTCCACCCTCCACTGGGAAGGAAAAATCACTACATGGCAGAGCCAAGAATTTTAAGCCCATTTTGGGATTTTCTTAAGGATCTTGTATAAATGTGAATTTGCTGGCTATTGATATGTATTGCCTAATTGCCTTTTCCTCTCCCCAAAGATTATGCCAATTACTATTATCATTACTAAAAAGGCTACACTTCTTTTAAGCCATTCATTTCTTGAACCATACATGAGTTAGTTAGGGCTTCTGGAACAAAGTACCATGGACTGGGTGGTTTAAACAACAGACATGTATTTCCTCACAGACCTGGAGAGTGGACATCTGAGATCAAGGTGTCGGAATGGTTGGTTTTGGCCTGGCTTGAGGCGTCTCTCCTTGGCTTGTAGACAGCCTCTTCTCCCTGTGCCCGCACACAGTCTTCCCTCTGTATGTGTCTGTGTCCTACTCTCTTTGTAAGGATGCTAGTCATATTGGATTGGGATCCACTCATATGACCTCATTTTACTTAATACCTCATCAAAGGCCGTATTTCCAAATACAATGACTTTCTGAGGTATTAGGAGTTAGGACTTCAACCTATGAATATTTGAGGAACACAATTCAGTTTAAACAAATCATAAGACACATAAGAAAACAACTCATAAAGTAGAAAAATATGAGCATGTAAAAAAGTAAAAATCTCATGACTTCATTGATTTGAACTGAGGTTCTTATGCACTTTGCCCATGCGTGGACCTAATCAATGGTGCTTTTCCCTGGTTCTCATGAAGTGGTTTACAATGTTAGCATCAATGCAGGCATACTGTCGCTTTTATCACAATCCCAGCTTTAGGTATTATTAAGTGAAAAAATCTAATTAATTATATATTACTCTTTTAATTTTCCTGAATGAATTTCCTAGGTTAAATGTTTTCCCTTAAGTTTACTTGTTACATACATTTTTCTTATTTAAGTTTATTTAAATATATCAATCAGGTCAATGTTTTCCTTATTTTATTAAAGTCCTTTTGAACTTAATGTAACCTATACATAATCTAAACAAAATGGGAAAACTGCATGTTTTTAGAAACTTTTTTTCTAGTAGTTGCCTAACCTCTACTGTTGCCTCTAGGATTTATATTAAAGAATGACTGTTTCTATTAAAGAAATACCTATAATTGGAAAAGGGGGCTGGTAGCACTTTACATAAGACTATGAATATATCAATTATCCATATCAAACAATGGGGTTGGGACTCTGGAAGCAGAAACGAGAAATGAGAAGACACACGCACTACAGGGACATATGGACAACAGGGACTGGTGGGGCACCCTACTGGCAGGAACTGGATTAAAGTGTCAGATAATTGCTCATATAGAGCTATTTGGCATCTGGTTACTTTGCAACTGGAGCCTGATGATGACAGGATGCTGTACTTGGTTCAGTTGCCAGCAACCTAAGGGACTGTTGATACCTGTTCTCATTATACCAAAGTGGCTGACCCAATGGAAATGCAAGGTGTGTGTACACCCTTTTTTCTGCATCAATTTTTTTCTAATATTTAGCAAGTTTTGTTGATGTTCTGAAAGAGGAATTTTATTTGATTATTGATAATAACTCCTCCAGGAGCTAAAATGTAAAATCCAAAGAAAAGGAAGCCACCTACCAATCTACACCTTAACAGGGAAGAATGGTAGGGAGCCACAGTTCCTCCCCTCTTTTTAAAAAATCCTCACCTGAGGGTATGACTATTAGAGAGAGAGGGAGAGACAGCAGGAGAAACGTGAATCAGTTGCCTCCCATAGGCACCTGTGCTAGGGATTGAACCCACAACCTTTTGATATATGGGACAATGCTCCAACCAACTGACCACCTGGCCAGGGCTCCTCCTTTTCTTTTGTCATTTGTTATATCTCTCCAATCAGCATTAGGCAGGAGATGTAGGTAGAATATTTAGTCTGCACCCTGGGCTGACAGCCTGGGTAGGAAACTTCCCTTTCTGGTTCTGTCTGATAAGATTTCCCCTCCACGGAGCTCACATTTAGGATTCCCCAGAACGAACAAAAGTAAGGCGCACTGCTGATTCCTTAGATGGGGATGTGGCCATGTTTATGACGACCTAGACTTGGAGCTATTGCTCTGTCAGCCAAACTCTGTGAGGACAGCGGCAGGCCAGAATGTAAAAGGCCCTCTGCTTCAGGACACCTACCTACTCTCGCCTTCAATTTGTCTTTATTCCTCTCGCAGTTTACTTTCCCTAACCCCTATCTCTAGCCACTGTTAGCACCTGAGCAATCAAGTTGATGGCTAAGGCTGGGTTTGGAGCAAGAAGGCTGGGCTCTTTTGATTGAGGACACATTTCCAACATGCTATGAAGTCTCAGCGCAGATAAGGTCTGGGTGGGAGGAGGTTGGACAACGAGGTCCTGGTATATATGTATATTATCTGGGGATATTATTGAAATGTAGATTCTGATTCAGTAGTGTTGGGATGCAGTAGTTTTGGGAGTCCTCAGGGCAGTGTAGGGGGTTGGGGTGTTACGTAGGGCCTAAAAGAAGCTTCGGACGGAGCCAGAGGTAGCGTGAACTCCCCGGTGGAAGGTCCGCGTCACCAGTTAGACAAGAAACCTGACGCCTGGAATCGCTTTCAGCTTTACCATTTTGATTTTGGGTTTGAGATCCAACAAGTGGGTTCTTAAATTTCTGGGCAAGCTACGTACCTTTTTGTTGCCCCAAATGCACACACACTCCTAATTCTGCAAACCGCCTTTATGCCCCGTAGCAAGGGTGCCGAACTTCTGCCTGCCTGACTGACTGCCTTTGGGTCCGCACCTGCGACCTGGGCAGTTCCTGGCTCAGCTTCTGCGGCGCCCCGCGTTGGGCTCCGGCGGGGGCGTGTCGGGGGCGTGTCGGGGGCGGGGCCAGGACCGGCGGAGGCCGCGCCCCTCGGCCGAGCAAGAGGTTGAGCTTGCTGCATTGCAGCCGCCGCGGCGCCGCTCGGCTCCTCACTCCCAACAATGGCGGCTTCGAGCCCGAGCGGCGGCGGCGGCTCCGGGGGTGGCAGCGGCAGCGGCACCCCGGGCCCCGTAGGGTCCCCGGCGCCGGGCCACCCGGCCGTCAGCAGCATGCAGGGTAAGGAACGCGGCAGCGCGGAGACCCCGGCTCCCTGGCGTGGCCGTCGGCGTCGTCGCGGCCTGTCCCCGCCGCCGCGGACGCCCCCGGACCCGGCTGAGGAAGCCACCGGAGCCGCCCGCGCCCGCCTCGCTCCTTCCCTCCCGGCTTCGTGCCCCGGGCCGGCCGCCTAGGGCTCGACTCGGATCCGGGCTCGGGCCCGCTCAGGCTCCGATCGCGGCCTCCGCCTGTGTTCGGCCCCTGGGCCCTGCCCGACTCCCCCGCGGGTCGGCGGGGCCCACCTGGCCCGACCGGTCCCCGCGGCGCCCCGGTAGCGGCCGTGGCTTACCTGGCGCGCGCCCCGCCCGCGTTTCCGGGAACGCGCGGGCTTGGGCTGCGGCGGGCGGGCGGCGTCGCGGGGCCTGGCTCCGTGTCCCGCCTCTGCTCAGGTAGGCGGTGGCGGTGTCCGGGCCCAGCGCCCCTCGGCCCCGCGCCCCAGCTCCGCTCTCCGCTGCCTCAGTGGGCCCTCTCAGGGCCATCTTGGGTTCCTTCCCGGCACAGCTGTGGCCAGACCACCGAGTTGACCTCGGCTGCGCGGTCCTGTTGGACCCTGCGTTCCCAAACTTCTGCAGGGTTGCTGTGAGCTGGGAGGAGCAGGGTTTGCTGAGGCCCGAGCCACCTGGAAGGTAGTTATTTAGACAGCCATTGGCCTGGGAGAAGCCATTTGTTCCGGGCCAAGGATGTCTGTGTTATCATTGCACACAGAAATAACAACAGTAATAACGAGTGGATTCGGTTTAAATGGAGAGATACAGGAAGTAGAAAGGCACGAGTCAAGGTGGCACTGTGGAGTGTCTGGACATTTCAGGCAGCTCTTCTAATTAATGGCTTTTACCACTGGGACTGTTTGTTAGACCTGTGTGGCTCTTGACCGGGGGTCTTGTGAAAAGACCAGGCCCTAGCCCATTAGGGACCATTTCCTAAGTTAACTGGGGGATTTCGAGTAGCAATGCTATTTTTAAAAGGGAATCTCAGAAATCTCTTGACAACTTTAGCAAACTACTTAGTTAAATGATTAGCAGAATTAGTTGGAGTACCCTTGGTAGTGACCAAAGTGTTCTTTGATTAAAATCTTCCTAAAGTCCCCCTTGATCTGTCATAACTGTGTGTCTAGTTAGGTTCAGCATTTATTGAATATTTAGTATTTATGAGAATGTGTGTGATTTATGAAGCAGAGACAGGATTATATGCATTTTTATAATCCTGTCACCCTCCCCATAATTTTAATATATATAAAGAACAGTGATATATAAAAAGGGTGATGTCAGAGCTCAGAGGACACTTTCTCTGCAGGCCCTCAGATAATTAATTCAAATCGAATTAGTTATTGGAAGCTGCTGTGTTGCAAAGCACAGTATACAGTCGAAGAACAATTTGGGTTTTCTGATCTTACAGCTTTACAGCCTAGTTGGTGGTGGTGGGGAAATGAAACAGCAAAATAACAGTTTAGGATTGTATTGTTTATGCCAAATGGGTGACATAAAATAATGTCAGTTTTTTTGGGGGGAGTAAGGAAATTGGTAGTTAGAAAAAGCTGTATAATTTTTTTTTTTTTCAGAAAAAAATTATTGAACATTTGCTCACTGCCAGCCACAGTACTCTAGTACTGACTGGATTTACAGAAAAGAGTGAATATAATTACTGCTGGAGAAAAGTGTTAGGAAGGAAACGAGCTGGGTTTTGTGATAGATGATAATAGGGGAGAAGGCAAACTGCTTTGATGAGATGGTCAAGGAAGACCCATCTCGGGGGGATGATTCTCTTATGGTAAAGAAGAGAGTTCTAAGCAGAAGAAACTGGTGTGAAGGTTCCAAAATGGGAAAGAGTTTGGAATGTTCTAGGAATGCAAAGAAAGTCATTGAGGTTAGGAATTATTCTGTTACTCTCTATTCTCCTCCCCCACCCCTGTGTTTGTATGCCTACTAAGCAAAACTTTCTATTAAGCTGAATTCATTTTAAAAGGGAGAAGGAGGACATCAAACTTTTCTCTGAATTATGGGTGATTTTTTTTAAATCAATACTGTGTATAGCCTTGATTGATTCAGGAACATGTTTGTTATATCTGTTTTTTAACCTCTTTTGATTACTCAGAATAAAGAGAATTGCTTGAAATTCTCAGGATATTGTCTAGCTGAGTTTAGATTGTAAAGCATGAGCTTAAGCAGTAATTTTGGATCTCTCTTTTTTGCTCGTTTTGTAATATTAGAGCCTAGCTTCCAGTGCTTCATCTACCAAAGGCCTTTGGCTTTAGATCAAACTTCACAGAAGTGGTCCTTGTATTTCTACCCCCTTCACACAGTCTGCTTCTACTTGCCATCCAACACTGCCTTTCTGGGAGTTTTTAATGACCATGCTGTTTTGAACAGGATATAATGGGAGACGTTTCATAGAACAGATATCTGAATTACTTCTGGGTGATCAGCACTGTGTGGGGCATTGGATAACCTTGCACACCTTTTTAATATTTCCCAACTTGGACCACTCTGATGTCTGTGGCTCAAGAGTGATCCAGATTGGGAAATAATGTTTTCTTAATACTATGCTTAACAGCCAGAGCTTTGGAGGCCTGGATTTGAATCCCCTCATCAGGACTTAAGATTTTTGTGACTGTGGGCAAGATATTTAACCTCTGCAAGCCTGTTTCTCAATTGGAAAGTAGGAATAATGCTTACCCCATGGGTACTTTGAAAATGCATGTGAAGTGTGGGGCTGGCATGTAATCAGGATGCTATTATACATGTTAGCCATCATCATTGGTAATAACAGTTCTGTTATTTATTAATAATCTCCTTATTAGTCTCTTTCATTATTAGCAGATGAGTCCCTAACCCCTCATGATCCACTCAGTTCCTTTAGCTTCCTTTTTAATGTGCCCTGTCCTTCTCTCTAACCTGTTGATTTCCATTTTTTATTATCTACCCAGATTCAACTTACTATTCTGCCATGCACAAGCTCTGTGACGTTGGGAAAATTACCCACCTTTTCTGAACTCTGAGTATTTCATCTGTTAAAATAGGGATAATACCTACCTTATAGGGCAGTTTAGATGAATGCATGTGAAAGTGCTTTGAAAAATATAAAATATCAGTATATAAGAACTGTTATTACAGATGGTTACCTCCTTTAGTAACTAGTCACTTAAAATGTAATAGATTTAAAAGATCTCATGAACATAAGAAGTTAAATTTATTATAGAAGACAAAGTGGGGAAAAATAAAACTTTTCCTTAAACTTTATACAGGTAGTTAAGAAATGTCAGTTTTTTTAAAACTTAAAAAAAAAGGTCAGAATCTATAATTGATTCTGAAAAACATGGAGGCATTCATAAAGTACTCTATAAGAAAAATAGTATATGTTGTAGGTTCCTCTGATTTTCTTAATATGCTAATCTAAACAGTTATTCTTTTTAGGTTTCAAATATAGATGTGTAACAGAAAACTTATGGACTTACCTATTTACCCTCAGCTGAACATTTTATAAATATCAATTTAAGTGAAAATAGGATAGTGTAATTCTACATACAAAGCCTTTCAAGTGTAATGAAGTATATCCATTGAGAAAAAGCGAAGATTTAAAATCAATATACTTTTTTTCTCCCAATAATATTGGAGTATATACAACATGTATGAGACACCCTGTATGTGGTTATATTGGAGTATTTATTCACCAAGAACCATAAGAGGGTGCCTTTATGTTAATTTTAAAGAACTGAATTGTATAGACATTGTACATACATAATTCTAAATCCTAGAATTGCTTACCTTCCCAGTTTGTTGCATGCTATTTCTTTTACCATTTATTTGATACAACCTGATACAAGTCCAGCTCAGAAAAAATAGTCCCCTCTGAAAGCATATATTGCATTACACTGTGTTCCACTAAAAATGAGAGCAACTCTAGGGTTAACATTTAAAAAGCAGAAAAATACATCACTTTCAGGATACTTCTTTTGTCACATTTTCCTTTAAAGCATCTTATCAGAGTTGATGTGTGCTGAAACTCATTGAAGGTGTGATATTAGTTAACTGTAGTTTTTGAGTCATGTCTCCTTTTTCTGTGTTCTAGCTTTTTTTATTTTTTATTCTATTTCTTCCACCTCTTTTGAGAAGCTGGATAAATTTGGTCCAGTAGCATGTTCCTTATTTTTCAGGGTCTGGATATCATAACCAATTCCATCACTCATAATTTAGGTCAGTTTCCTTTGCAATCTCCATCTCTAGAAGATAGGGATAGCCCAGGTGATACAGCCTGAGAAACTTGAATTCAGACTTAAAAAGGAAAACTAATAGTGAACAGCTCTTTTTCTCTATCCTTACCTAATTTGATGCTTGTATATATCCTTTAAAGGTAGTTGGGCGTAGTCCCCTTATATAGATCTGGGAACTGACATTGAAATTAAATAATTTGCCCTGGTACAGGTAGGTTTTAATCCACCTGTATTTAATCTACCTGGTAGCCTTTGCTTTTCTTAGTACTCTACTACACAGGCTCACAGAGTTCTCTGAGCTCTCTTTTAGTCATTTCAGGCATCGAGGGCTGAGAGAAGAATCTTTGCCAGAAGTGATGCAGATTCAGAAATAGAAGAGATTATTTTAGGTTTCAGTTAAAGGGTGGAAACTCTCAGCATCCAGCCACATTTAGGTTAATTTTGGAGTCTTAGTGCTTCCTGATGCTCCTGTATGTTCTAAATAGAGCTCTAAACATGCTGGAGGTTTTACACTGGTATTTTGTATTTGGAGGCATTTTGATTAGAAATTTACAAGTAAGTAGGAAACTTTAATTAGGCCTTGAGGCCCAAGAGGCCAGTGTAGATGTGCAAGGTAATAGATCTCTTTGTACACTATGCCTAATATATAAAAGGGACACATTTAGCATAAGAGTTAATAACATACGTTGCCATCCTGGATACATCTGCCATCTGGGCAAATTACTCTGCTTGCCAATGGGCATGGGTTAGCTTCTATTCCTTTCCCCCCAACTCCAGAAAGTCTTCATGTGTCTCTTTATACTTTCAGCTTCGTTGGGAATTAATGGATACTCATAGAAAGGATTCAAGGACAAGGACTGATAAGATTGGCCTAATTTGTGGCTACACAGTGAAAGGGAGCATTAGTCAATAGTTAAACACAAGTCAAGATGGACTTTTTGAAAAAAATAACAGTCATATCATACACAGCTTGATTGTTGAAGCTCAACACATCATTCTCCACCACAGGGAGAGACACAACAGACTTTTCAAGCTGCATTTCATCTTACCAACAATCAGATAAAAATTTAAGACAGGGAAACAAGATAAATGTTGCCAAATATAGCTCTGCTATGTATTTGACATGCCTGTGTCTGTTCATTGCCTGGCTTTGCTAAAATGTAAGAGACATGAAGGGGTTCCCCTGATGTATTTGCCAGTATCCCTGATATCTAGGTTAGTTTCCAGTGGGGGGATGGAGGTGGGGTATTCTTTTTTTTGGAGTTGTTCAAGTCCTCAGGCAGTGTTGAGGCAGGGCTGTAGCAGAAATGTGGCGGTTTGGTGGGGATTCCCCTACCCTCTGGAGTTCTTTCCTTTTAACTGTCTTAAGATGGCTGAAGAGAATGAAGGGAGAGAGAGGGACTGGTTTTGCATAGGTTAAGCTGGTCTGGTAGGGAAGGTGCCATAATCACTGCTCACCTGGGGGAGAGACCAGGAATAATAATGACTATGAAAATATTCACCTACTTTATTCCAGGGTCTGTGTTGGACATTTTAGACAGATTGCCTTATTTAATCACCACAAAACACTTTTGGGTATTATTATTCTATGGTACGGATGAGAAAATTGAGGCTTATAGAAGTTAGAGTCTCTCCATGGGCATACTAGGGTTAATTGAAAAGGTTTGAGATAATAACAGAGCATTAAAGTTACATAACCAGAAAAAATAAGAGTCACTGGCCACAGGGAGGAAGAAGAACTGGCATATTTGATTAGTACTTACCAAATCATGAATGTTTCTGGATGATGCATACAACCTGGAATTACTAAATTAAGGTGGCTCCCTTTTAAGCATGAGAAAAGTGAAGTAAGGAAAGCTAAAGAAATAGCAGCAGGAAGTCTTTTGGGGCTCACTCTAAGTACAATGGAAAAAGACATTTTGGGCAAGCTTAGATAAATTCTTAGATGTTAGAACTATAATGATGTACTATGAGTAATTTTGCAGTTTAAGACATGTTAACATTTTGAGGTTAAAGCTTTAAAGTGACAAACAACTAAACTCCTTGTGCTTGTGTTAGAGGAAGACTTGGCAGCTTGGCCTATGGCACAGGTGGCAAACACAAGGCCCACAGGCTGAATCTAGTCCTCCACCTTGTTTTATCCAGCCAGCACCTTGTTAAGGAGTAGTTACATTTATATAGTCCTAAAATTACATCTGGGTGAAAATGAGTTTGACACCCCTGGTCTAGAAAGATTTAGCTAAATAGTTTATCTGATTTGATTGTTAAGATTGAATGGAATTTTAAAGAAAAGGTGAGCCATTATGTTATGAGTCTGTTTACTTGGTTACTTCCTCCATAATTAGGTAAAAAGTGCAAGTCTGTAGTTTTGCTTTGTGAATTTCACTCCCTTCCTTTTGAGCTACTTGCATTGATACTGTACTGGCAGAACTTGAAGTTTTGAGAATTTTAAAGTACTTAAAAACATGGGTTTGTCTTCTGAGTGTTAGAGCAGTAATTGGTGACATTCTAACATTCTAGTTTACCTACACCTTTATAATTTGTTTCTATTTACTATGTTTTGTCCTGTAACTTATTTTTATACAAACATATGTACAGATCCAACTCATTCTTTTTCAAACTTTTCAAATTTATTTTTCTTGCTCCTTTCCCCATTCATGTTGATATTTTGTTCACCTTTTCTCTCATCTTTTATTTTTGCTACTTAGTAGCAACTGGTGCCTGTATTTAGAACTAAAAAGAGAAGAGTAACTATTGCCTTACAATTGTTTCATTGTTTCATCAACTTCCTCTCTAACTATGGTACAGGTGAACTTTCCCTTCCTTGTAGTGGGAGCAGGTGGGAGCCTGGCTTTGGACCCCTGGCTCAGGCTCCTCTGCTCTCTGTCCCACTGCTGCTTCCAAAGAGCCAGTTCCCTTTCCTCCTGACTTGTCGCTCACTTTGCTTGGCGGGAGGCTAGCTGGCTTTTAGTTGCTTCGGTTTCTAAGACCTATGGATCTTTGACTTGTTCTTCCTGAAGTCTTCGTGCTGCTGGTCTGGTAGAGCACGAATTGAGCTTTAGTGGAAGTGTCTGTGCCCTGACTCCAGGTGTGCCCCCAGTACCTCTGTCCCATGAAGTCTTGCCATTTGTGTCATTAGGAAGTAAACAGTGGGTTGGTTACTTTTGTATACCAAAGTAACCTTCGTGTCACAGTAGTTACATTAGCATTTTCAAGTTTTCTACAAAAAGATGATACCCTTATCTACTTAAATCCCAAACATTTTGATAACTAGATGGGAGAGACTGCTTAGTCATATTTTTCCTTTAGTCCTGGTTCTTTTTCATACAAGTTTTGATGGAATTTGTATAAATACAAGCTTGAGTGATACTCATTCTAAATGTACTTTCTCCAGTTTGTTTCCCAAAGTAGTAATAAGCAAAGGCATAAATAGACTTCTAAGAATACCAGCTATTTACCCAATGAACTAAGGGGGTGAAAGAAAATTTTGAGAAGACTATTGTTTTAAACAGCTTATTTTACTGGGCGTATTTTACAAAAAATTACATCTGTGTACACTGTATGCATAAGGGACAATGAGATTCAACTGGATTTAGAAAATGTGTCCATGTTTCACAGTTTTTTTTATAACTAAAGTCCTGCTCTGTCTTATTCCTAGGAACATGGTTATTTATTTATTTATTTATTTATTTGAATTAGGCCTACTCTAGGAGAATTTCAGCACCTCTCAGTAGTTCATTGTCTTATTATTTGGAGGTAGCTGACTAGAAAATGTTTAGGTTCACAATTTATGAACTACTAAAGCTTTTGAATCCTAGTTAGTAATTAATCATGAGTAGTTTAAGTCAGTAATTTGAGTTAGTAAAATAGCTTGTAATATTCTGAATTTGTAGGTTGAAAGAATTGACAAATCTATCTCAAAAATTATTCTTAGCTTCCAAGGGCTAATAGCTGTTTTGTTTTGTTTTTTAATTGAATAGAATATGAAAATAAAGGTAAAGACAACGTAACTTTTTTAACGTAAACTGGATTTCAATTTTATAATAAAGTATATCTACATTGGAAAAGGCCAAATTATTAAAGAAATGTGTTATATCTGTGATGGTGGGGGTTATGTGATTTGAACTGTTCTTAAATTTGTTTTATTCAAATTGTTATATAAAAATGCAATGTCATGTTCTAATTTTGGTTTGTTTGATTTACAGTAAATGAACTGGAATTATCTCTTTTACTTTAGGCTTTCAGATAAACTTCTGTGAAAAGGCACAAAGTAAGCTACACATTTTATGATACTATGCTACTTATTTTTTTCATATCCATCTTGGTATTGGGAATGTGTCTACTATTGTTTTAACTAACCAACCATGGCAATTTTACATTAAAAGAGCTTCCATTTTTCATTCTTTTTCCAAATGCAAAAAAATTTGTTGTTATATTCTCATTTTTGTTTGAAATAGAAGAAAGACATACATACACATTCTAATGTATATGTGTATGGAAAGATTTATATGTATGTTTGGATGTATATAGGCATAGAAAGAAAACTAGCTTTGGAAAGATGTGTATGGGTATATAAAGATGTATATAGGTGTTCATGTGTAGATAGGAGTACATACATAGGCAGTCATACCTAACTATGATTTAAGTCACAAGTTGAGGTAAGTTCACTTTTAAGATTTTAGTACAAAAAGTATACAACTGTATTAGAGGTCTCATGCTCTAAAATTAATTTATTTAAGCCATACATTTAATGCATTTTATTACTTTTTTCTTTAAAACAAAACCTGCTTTCTTCTTCCTGCCTCCCACCACCCCCCATTAGAAGCCAGTGTATTATATTCAAACACTAGTCTTCATAAAATACAGAATATGTTTTTTATTAAAAAGCAAAATTTGCAAAGCTAAAAGAAATGCATTCTAAGCTTAAATATCACTGTATAAAATGCAGTTTTAAAAAATCCCAACTCAAGGAGACTATTCTACAGTTAACATAAAAGGATCCCAAAATATAATGTAACTAGTTTCATCTTCTGCTTATCTATTTATAGAGTGGGGAAGAATGATAACCACTTTTCTATATATATTAGTCTTCTCCCCTCAGCCTTATTGAAATATAATTGACATATAACAGTGTGTAAACTTAGTGTGTACAATGTGATGATTTGACACACTTATATGTTGTGAAATGATAACAACAAGATTAGTTAACACTTCCATAACCTCACATAATTATTTTTTTGCGAACATTTAAGATTTATTCTTTTAGCAACTTTTAAGCATATAATACAATATTATTAACTGTAGTTAGCATGCTGTACACTTTAGATCCCCTGATATGTATCGTTCTTATTAAGAAAGTTAGCTCAAAGGAAACAGTTTAACCTGGAGAAAACATTTCTGTTTCTAAATTTTTTGATGAAGTCAAATATTTAATTTCTGTTGGTTGAACACTGTGACTTCCTTTGAAATGTAGTTAACAACGATTTATTTCTTGAGTGGTTCACCCATGATGTAAATATATAATGAATAATAGAATGGGATACCTACATCCTGGGTTAATTTTTTTTAGTTGGTCCATTATTATCATCCTTCTCTTATCTTAAATTAAAAATAGTATATAATTCCCTCTACAATGAACATATATATGATACATATGTAACAAAGTTACAACTATTTTATGCTAGCTTTTAATTTTAACATTTACTATGAAAATTTTTAGCATTCATTTACCCTTTAGTATAAAGTATTTGTTTAGTACTTAATTTAATTTTTAATTTTTATATATTGACATTAAATTAAAGAAAAATGCCAGTGTTTTTAAAATTTAAAACTGCATACACATTGTTGCCTTTTTTGTCTTAGTTCTATTGTGGGCATAAAATGAGAGAAATGTATTGATTTTTGTTAAGTTTAAAATGTGTATACAATGTCTATAAATGGCTTTGTAGGTAGATTAAAAATGCCATCAGATTGTTTAAATGGCCCTGTCCCTGTCCCATTATTATAGAAATAACAGGTTTGCAGTGTTGTCTCCTTCAGTACACATGAAAGAATCTTAACACAGGAGCATATATAGTCCCACTTTGATGCTTGCTTTGGGTTGCCTTCACTACCTCGTTGTACTGTGACTGCTTTCTCACATCTCCCTTTTTATTTCTTCCTCTCTTTATTTTCCAGTTTTTGGGATTCAACACAGTTCTATACATTAATTCACAAAGCACATATTTGACACAGGTACTATAAAGTGAGGAAGATTACGAGTACAGAAATGAATAGAATTGGTCCCTGCTCTTGGTGTACGCCTTACTGCAGTGGGCGAGAGTTGATCCTTTGTTGGTTGTTAAGTGTTCAAAGTACTGATGTTACTGATTGATGAGTAGCTGAACCCAGAGTGAGGTGGTGCAGGGGCAGATGTGTGCTGGGCACCTTTGCTCCTGTTGTTCTGTTGTGAGACAGAAGAAGTATGAGTGGTGCTCTGGGTCTCATGATAGCTTCTTTCCTGCCTGGAGACCATGGCTCGGTGATCCAGCAATGGGCCTGCCCTGCTGTGGAGTTAAGTAGAGGTGTCTGTGCTGGTTGGGGCTTCAGTGGAAGACTTTAGAAGAGGGAGCACACATGTGAGGAAGGGTTGGAGCTGGTATGTTGGTAGGGATGGCTGGCTGTAAGTTGACAGCATTTCTTTTTGCATTTTTGGTACTGTATTTTAGGATAAGTTTTCAGTTGCTTACATATATTAAACATTTTTTTTTCCAAAACTGGTCTGGTGATTGACAAGTCTTAAAAGTTAAAACTGCTATTTTGTAATGTTTGCAGACAGTCTGTCTTCCAGTTTGCTCTGGAATATAGATATGAACTTGATGTTAAAAGTTGTCACTTAGTTCTTTAAAAATAGAGGGCTTGGAATTACCGAAGCATTGTGTTCTCATTTATTAGGACACACTCTAGTGTCAGAATGTCTAATTTTATTCTAAGGTTTTTCAAAATTATCAGAAAAATTTATAGTATTTAATTCATTAAAAGTAATTGCACGGAGTGGGCCAAAGTAGGTTTACAGTTGTGAGTATGTGAAGCAGTTTTTTCTTGTATTGTTTATTAATTATTATAGTATTTTCCATATGAACAACTGTAAATCGACTTTTGCCCCACCTTGCGTATCATACAGTAGTTGTAGGGAGGGGATGAGGCAGAAGAGAACAAAATTAAATACTGGTGAAGGTCCAGTACATTTTATACTGCTGCTTCAAAGGCTCAATTCTCCATCACAAATCCAAAAGACTTATTGTAAGATAATTCTGATGACTAATGGAAGCTCTGAAGGATTAATTTTTTTCCCACTGTTTGACTTTCACATAGTTTTTGTTTTTTATATTGCTACATCACTATTCCAATCAGTTTATTATAATTGCCTGTTGTAAGTTAGTGGAGTTTTATTGGAGATGTGTGTGTAGGTACTTACACACACAAGCTAATAGTGTGAGATTACATATTTAATTTTGGAATCGGATTTTTATAGAAATTCAATAAAAATCCACTTTGCACCTCATGGTTTTTTTATCAATTGTAGTTTGTACATTTACTTGCTTTTTGATTTTTTAAATATATATGTTTAAGATGATGTGTATTTAAGATAATAAGTAATAAATAAAGTTATAATTATTTAAAAAGGTGTTATATTTCTTTTAACACTGTTGGATCATTGAACTTTTCTGAAATCTGAATGTAAGACAACTTAAGGGAAAAACATTCTTTACAATGTAGAACAACATTTAGAAGGTTGATTAATTTATCATTTGAAAATAATAATTTTGTACTTGTAAAGGTATTTGTATGAGCTATGACCAAGTTTGGATTACCATATCTTAGTGGTTTTAATGAGCTAACTTGTAAACATTCTTTAGGATATGATTTACTTTGCTTTATAAAACCAGTTTTTCAAAGGGAGTAGTAGATTTGCCTAGAAACAAAGTTTTTGAGAAATTCTTTTATAAATGTCAAATTTACTTTAGTGTATCAGCATTCTGATTTTTTATTTAGAGGGGAATTATGGCCCGTTAAGGATTTGAGGGCATAGGAATTTTCCTAAGAAAATAACAACCCTGTGCTAATCTAAGTGAGACTAGTTAGCAGTTGGGCAAATAGTCTGTTAATAGTTTTTACACAAGGGATCTTTAGCCCCCTTTTTCCCTTCTGTTCTGCAATGTATTTTTATCTTTTGACTGTAGAGTTCTTGAGTGCTACAGATAAGTTTGGATAGTGTTGAATTTTTCTGTAGCTTTGGCTTTTACACTTTTGGTAGCTTTTAGTGGCCTTTAAAAGTTGTTTTACTTGGGAATGTTTGCATAGCAAGGGGATCTTTATTTAGAAAATTACATGCTCTAGAGGTGACTGCTATCCTGGAAGTGCTAATAGAAATTAGGTAGTGATCACTTTTGGAGAAAAAATGGAGGTATCCTAATGACAGGCTCTCATTTCATTGTGAAACTACTTTTTTAAGGTAAGTGTCCCTAATTGTTTTTAAATAGGTAATAATTAAAAGGAAACAATAAAGAGGATGGATGTTTCTTGAGTCTTTCTAGAAATTTGAGTATGTAATTAATATGTTTACTGACCTGATAAGAGATGTTTGTAAAAGAAGATGTTTTGCTTAAGAAGCATTTTTGGCTTTGTTGGAGGTGGAGTATAAAAAGCCAGGGGAAGGGAGGAGTGGAGGAGAGGGACAGGCCATTCATTCTGCATTGAAAATGAAGAGCTTAGAAAACTCAGCTGATTCAAATTTCAGTTTCCCATTTAATGTAGCAAAAGTCTACACCCAATGACTAATATTTTATCATTTGAAATTTTTAAAAGTCAGCTAAGTTTTTCAGCAATCCTAAGAAACAGAATTATCACATTTGCTACTGTTGGAGTTGAGCAAGGTTTATTTAAATTTATATAGATCCTGAAGTAAGTTAAAATGAGACTTTCGTGGGATTTGCCATAAGCTCAGCTAGCATCGAGTATATTTTCATCACTATCTTTGTGGGCCATGATAAACTGCCAATGGAAAGTCCATCTGCTTGGAAACAGCTTTTATATTAATCAAAACCCAAGAATGGTAGTAGTGGTATAGGCAGAGTCAAGATTTATGTAGTCCCCTTATACATTATACCATACCAAGGGGAGTATTGACTAATTATCTTTTATCTTGGAAGTGGTAGAAACATTAATTTCTCCTGAAAGATGGGTTTTGATGCTAGAAGAAGGAAGGTTTCATTTTGAACAACTATAGTA